CCTAATCAAAGAAAAGATCATATTTGTGTTGTTCAGACAGCCATGAAAAAGTTGGAGTTGTGTCATATTTCTGCAGTGTGAACATAGCGACTGACATATTTAGAATAAATTGCAGATCAAGTCTACTGTCATCTCCCATTTGGGTGGTAAATTTAGCATTTATCTAATAAAAGATCCAGCTGCAAGTGCATCCGTCTGTCTGTCTGTCTGGTGTGGAGGTAGAAAAGCAGTGGGCCGAGCACGCGTCCCTGAGGAACACCTGGACACAGAGTTGAGGGATTACATTAATTAATCCCAAACCCTACCAAACTTTTATCCTGCAGCATGTTATCAGACTCCGGTGGAGACGATGCTCCGCTCTGGTACCGCATGAACACGGATCAAGCTACGCTGTAACACTCGACACCGAGCCCTCAGCTGCCTCTCGCGAACTAGCCGGTGTGACCTCTCTCAAGCTGTTGTGCTTGTTATTCAGAGCGTGCCTCCCTCCATCTTTTCAGCGCATTCATAGCCAGCCGGGGTCACCGTCCAGCTATGACGCCCCCCCCCTCCCCTCTGCCTTCAGTAACCCTGACGCCGTTAAACTCAGCAGCGAGCAAGGACGCGTTCTGGTGGCAGCAGTTGTGTCCCTGTGAGGGAAAGCAGTTGTCTGACAGACACATAGTTGGCCTAACCTTTGTTTAATTTAATGTCATGTTTATTTTTGATATGCTTGGGGGGAGGGAGGGTTTCGGGAGAGAAAGGTGCAGTTTGTGTATTTACAAGGAACGATGCCTTTAAACTTAGATGATTAGCGAAATTACTGACTTGGCAGCTGATTTAAATACTGACGCCTCTTTCTTTTTTCCCTCCCAAGGCCTCCTGGCTGAGCTGCTAGCCGTGTTGCAACAGTGTTTGTCTGAACAGGCCGCAGCTGGAAAAGCTGTTTCTAGATGAGCTGGTTACTTATTATTGCATTTTTGATAAAATCATTTGTAGATTCTGCCTCTTTTTCTTCTTTTTCTTTTTTGGTCAAATTGTTAGTCGATGATTGAAAGTGAAATAACTAATATTTATTTAGTTTTACTTCAGGAGCCCAGAGATATTAAAAAAAGAAATGTTTTTCTTTAGTTTGTTGGCGCTTCCATCGTTTTTTTCTTTATAAGGTGAACAGTGAGATTGTCCAGAGGCAGGCAGCTTGTGAGCTGAGATGGTTTCCATGTCGTCTGATCAGCGTAATGGCTGCACCATGGAGTGCAAGAAGAAACGAAATGTGGAGGGTTGGAGAATGAGAAATATGCAGCAAGTACAAGAAAAACATGAGCTTAAAGAGTTCACCACACAGGAGCAGGTTAAAGGCTTTTGTGTGAAAAACAAAAAACAGTTTTCCAGAAAAGTATGGCAAAGGTGAATGAAAGGATGCTTCATACTTGACTCCATAGTCTAAAATGTCTTTCTTTCTTTGTATCCTTTCCTTTTATAGCCCTGCATCTTCCTTTTTTTCTTTTCTTCTGTTTTTCCTCCTTTCTTTCCTTGTGACCTACCTGTCTTCGTAGGTTCTCACCTTCTTTTTACCCTACATCCTTGCTTCCTTTCTTGTGTCTTTCCTTACTCTCTCTCCTCGGTGTCTTGCCTTTTGTAGGTTAACTTTTATTATTTATATTTTAAGATGAACACAAGATGCTGGGAAGTCTGGAAAAGCACAGAATAGTTCCTAAAAGACTGTAGGAATTGTGGAGGAAGTGAAAAGTTGCCCGCCCGTTAGAAGAATTGCCTTCATCTCGGTGTGGAAAAACATTTCTGTTCCGTTTCTTTAACAGCAGGTCACAGCGCAGGGACAGCCATGGTGAACGGAGACGGCGCCCACACAGAGGAGGGAGAGTCGAAGCAGGACGGGAACAGCGAGGCGGACGGCGGCGAGGACTCCAACGAACAGGAAGTGATAGTGATCCAGGACACGGGCTTCACCGTCAAGATCCAGGCGCCCGGAACCGAGCCGTTCGACCTGCAGGTACAGATTAGCTCCTCGAATAGATAAAACCAGCAGCCGTCGTGTGTTGGATAAGGACGGCGGCTCATTAAGGGAGTCTGAGCGGGTTCTAAGTAAAATACCTCTTCGGAAACAACAGACAAAGTGATTAAGCCTGCTTACGCTTCCTAATCTCCGTTGTTTCGCCAGGTGTCCCCCCAGGAAATGGTGCAGGAAATCCACCAGGTGTTGATGGACCGGGAGGACACCTGCCACCGCACCTGCTTCTCCCTGCAGCTGGACGGGAACGTGCTGGACAACTTCGCCGAGCTCAAGTCCATCGAGGGTCTGCAGGAAGGATCGCTGCTCAAAGTGGTTGAAGGTGAGCGCTCACTTCCAACAGAAACCCGACTTTAACTAGACCCTCAGCTTCTTCTTAACTCGTAATGTAAACTCAAATATACAGACACATTTGATATATTGGAATATTAGTGAAAAGTTGATTAAATTCACAAACTTCTTCACTTAGTAAAACACATTATATCGATTTGTGTAAACGTATGCAAGCCTTTGTTTCTGTTATTATGAGGATTTTCTGCCTGTAGTTAATGAAAACATTTAAAGTTTGAATATTACGCAAGACCAATAAAAAACACTTCAAGTGGAGAAATAAGGGCTTAATGAAATATATGTTTAATACTAGCTTAAAGGTTCTTCTTCTCAAAAAGTACTTTTAATCTGACAAACTCGACTCACCAGGACACATATAATGATTTACTGAATGTGTCTACTTAGTATCATAACAAAGGCAGTCTGCAGACAATTTTATTCTGACAATATTTTCAGTAAATATTGTAAATATTCAACATGCATTTTGGAGGATGTTCACTGGGATCAATTTCAGTTCAAATTACACGGATTAAATAACTCAAATATTCATAATTATGTAGTAGAGAACCACTAAAATGGGTTGGAATAAAATAAATCTACACATTGGTGATTCTCAGGAACTTTTGCATGTACTAGATGCAACATATTGACACGAAGGAAACGGAGATCATTAAAAAGCATCATGAAGCGTGACTCAGTCGAGCACCGTTTCCCCTCTGCTGCATCTCATCCCTCGTTCTGCAGAACCGTACACTGTGCGCGAGGCCCGCATTCATGTGCGGCACATCAGAGACCTGCTGAAAAGCCTGGACCCCTCAGATGCCTACAACGGCGTGGACTGCAACTCGCTGTCCTTCCTCAGCATCTTCACTGACGGAGACCTCGGAGGTACGACGCATTTGAAAGTTGGATAAAACTTTCTTGCCGGTTTTATTAAAGGGAGGGATTCCTCCCCACTGTTGCCGTATGCTTGCTTGGGATGCAAGATTGCTTTATTCTTACTAACTCCTGGAGGTTTCCCCCTGTGTCTTAAGACAGTGGAAAGCGAAAGAAGAAGGGCACCGAGCTGGAGCAGATCGACTGCACCCCTCCGGAGCACATCCTGCCTGGCAGCAAAGAGCGCCCCCTGGTGCCCCTCCAGCCACAGAACAAAGACTGGAAGGTTTAAATCCGCCTCTGCTCCGCTCCATCTCTTGTTACGATATAACCCGAGTTTGTCTCGTTAGTCAGAAACCAAACATGCGTATCTGTGACTCCATCGACAGCCCATGCAGTGCCTGAAGGTCCTGACCATGAGCGGCTGGAACCCTCCGCCTGGAAACAGGAAGATGCACGGCGACCTCATGTACCTGTACATCGTGACCGTGGAGGAGCGCCACGTCAGCGTCACGGCCTCAACGCGAGGCTTCTACCTCAATCAGTGAGTCTGATTTTCATTCTCCCAGATCCTGCAAGCTCCTCCGACTGAATGCTGCCAGGTCTGTCGATAAATAGTCTTTCTTGCTTTGTTTTTGTGCAAGAACAAGAAAAGAAATTGTAGACTGGACTATAAAGACTGCATCACTGCTTTGTAATTTATCTCTAAAAATTGGTTGTATAGAGTTTCAAATTGATTTGCTGCGTAGGATTCGGAACCAGCTCAGGTTTCTGCCTCTTTGTTAATGACTTTCAGATCAACAACCTACACCTTCAGCCCCAAGCCAGCTAACCCCAGCTTCCTGAGCCACTCTCTGGTGGAGCTGCTGAGCCAGATCAGTCCTGCCTTCAAGAAGAACTTTACCTCGCTGCAAAAGAAAAGGTGACGATAACCTACTTTTAATTTAGCATCAGTCTCCCACATTTGCTTCAAGCTCTAATAGTAATCGTTCTTGCGTGTTTTACGGTCCGTATTACTAGCAAAACAAGTTAACACCTTTAGTCCTTTTCACTCTTTGAAGTAATTTGAAGGTATTGCTTTGTTTAACTCAGGCAGGGGTGTCAAACACATTTTCATTTTGGGCCATATAAAAAATATGAATGTTCTTAAAGGGCCACTTGTGCCAGAATGTATTGATAAAACCCATTGAACTGTTGAAATATCAATAAATAGCTGCTTGTTTCAGCATTCAATAAGAGTTTGTTAAAATGAAATAATATGAAACATCTTTTCACACCATCCAGAATTTTGTGATAGTTTTTGTGGGGTTTTTCTGCAACCATAATCACCGATTTTGTGTTGCTAATTTAGTCAATCACAAACTACAACTTGATGTCAAGTAAGGCTGAGGCAGCTGTCTCTTAAACCCAATTTTTTATTTTTTATTTTTTAACCAGTTTTGAGAAGAATTTGCAGTAAGATCAGGAACAAATGTGGGAATCTGTTGATTTGGTGTGAATTTTGTGGAAAAACTTGACGGACTTATTTGGAGTCTTAGAGGGCCACGTAAAAAGCTACAGCGGGGCCTGATTTGGCCCCCGGGCCTCGAGTTTGACACACTTGAACTAAGGGAATACTTCTAGAAAATGTGCAGGAGGCGTAACATCATAGTTATTAGACAGCATATTTTTCAAAAACTCCACAATGAGTAGGAAACCGTACGTAGAACAGAGTGCTCTAACAACGTCTGCTGATTCAGATTAATGTGGACGTGTCGTATGAGAAGGTTAAACATGTGAAAAGGAGCCAAACAGCTGAGTCGCTTCACCGGTTCTCCACTGCAGGGTGCAGAGACATCCGTTTGAAAGGATAGCCACGCCTTTCCAGGTGTACAGCTGGACGGCTCCGCAGGTGGATCACGCCATGGACTGCGTCAGAGCTGAGGACGCCTACACCTCCCGCCTTGGCTATGAGGAGCACATACCGGGACAGGTGGGTGTGGCGAAACTCGGCTGTGGACGATGTCGGGAGCTTCCATGGCGTAAATGTGTGTTGGTTTGCCTTCAGACCAGAGATTGGAACGAGGAGCTGCAGACCACCCGGGAGCTGCCGCGCAAGAACTTACCTGAGCGACTGCTGCGGGAGAGAGCCATTTTTAAGGTACTGCTGAGACTTCCTGGATGCTGGACGCAGGAGCAGAGTGTTTTCTGAATGTTTGTTTTTTTTTTTACTATATAGGTCCACAGTGACTTTGCAGCTGCTGCCACTCGCGGGGCCATGGCCGTCATCGATGGCAACGTCATGGCAATCAACCCCGGCGAGGAAACGCGCATGCAGATGTTCATCTGGAACAACATCTTCTTCAGTCTGGGCTTCGACGTGCGGGACCACTATCGTGAGCTCGGTGGCGATGCCGCCGCCCACGCTGCGCCGACTAATGACTTGAACGGAGTACGTGCTTACGGGGCGGTGGACGTGGAGGGTCTCTACACCCTGGGCACAGTGGTAGTGGACTACAGGGGGTACAGAGTAACTGCACAGTCCATCATCCCAGGGATCCTGGAGCGAGAGCAGGAGCAGAGCGTCATCTACGGCTCCATTGATTTTGGAAAGACGGTTGTGTCTCACGGCAAATATCTGGAGCTGCTCGATAAAACCAGCAGGCCACTGAAGGTCAGGAACTGTCGTATTTACTCTGTTTGGTTTTATCGAATGAATGAACGCATTCTCCAAATACTGGATGCAATTCCTTATATATAAAGGTTGTATATAAAGGTTTAATATCTAAAAAACATTTTAAAAAATCTTTGTTTTTTTTAACCCATCTCTTCCCTGTGCTTTTGTTAAGGCCATTACAAGAACAGACATTTTGTTTTCTTTTATTCACGGCTACAGGAAGAAGAACAAAATTATTTCTCACTGGTGACGTTTCACACGTCATAGTCCTAGAAAATCTTACTGGGTTTCTCAGCTTGGACATCAGAAATATGCTTCAAGAACTCCCAAGTCAGGGTTAAAAGAACAGAATGATGATAATTTGTTGTTGCTCCCTTTGAGAGAACAAACTTGTTCTTGTTCAATATTTACTTGGAAGAAGAGTTATGCTGTCTGCCTACTTGTTGCTCTCTGGCTAGTTGGCTATTGGCTGCTTTTTCAGTTGCCCGTCTGCTACTTCTTGCGTTTTTGGCTAACTAGTTATCTTTCTCTTGCTCTTTTGGGAAGCTAGGTATTACTTTTTTGTATTCTGCTGTCTACCTATCTAGACACCTCTCTCCTGCTTTATTTGGCTAGCTATTTATCGCTTGTTTTTTTGTTAGCCATCTGTCTTGATTTTTTTTCTTGCTAGCCATTTCTGTCTTCCTTTTTCAGCTTGTTAGCCATCTCTCGTTTTGTTTCGGCAAAAACTCGCCAACTCCAGTTGGTCACACTTGCTAGCTATCTACCACTCCCTGAAACATTACCTCATTTTACCTCATAAATATGTTGCTACTCTTTGCAAATTTACCCTAATATTTGTTCAACTTCCTGTAGAGTCTGAAAGAAAGTGATAAACTGTATCGGCACTGAGCTGTCCGTAGATTTTCCTGCCTTTTTATTTGTATGCTCAGTTATTTAAGAAAAGGAAATAAATATCTAACTAAAAGTCTGTTTTCTGTAATGCCTGTCCAATGTTTTAACCTCTGTTGTTAACATTGGTATCACTGGCTTATTAATGTTTTTTTTCTCCTGTAAATTCCAGGTGCAGCAGCACAAAGTGCTGAATGAGAAGGAAGAGTCAGTGGAGCTGTGCTCCTCCGTTGAATGCAAAGGCATCATTGGTAACGACGGCAGACACTACATCCTGGACCTTCTTCGAACCTTCCCTCCTGACTTGAACTTCCTGCCTGTGGATGGAGAGGAGCTGTCTGCAGAGAGCCAGCGTCAAGGTTTCCCCCGGCAGCATCGTCATCGCTTGGCTTGTCTTCGCCAGGAGCTCATCGAGGCCTTCGTCGAGCACAGGTGGGCGTCGCTCTGCTTTTCCGGAGATTCTATCTTCCTGCCGCTAACGTTTGAATCAAACTATTTGTTTTGTTCCTCTTTAGATATCTTCTTTTTATGAAGATGGCAGCGATACAGCTAATGCAGCAAAAGGCAAACAAGGACTCTAGCAAAACAGACGTGCCCGCCATTGCCGAGACCTCGGCGACAGACGGCGGCGTTGGTTCCACACAGACTGCCGCTGCACAAGCGTCGGCAAACAGCACAGACCCGACAGACAACAACAGCACCTCTGCTGCCCCACAAATGGCACCTGAAAGTGAAGAAAGCTCCTCAAAGCCCACAACAAACGGGCCTGTGGATCCCACAGGCCCCCAGAATGGGGAATGCAGAAGCCCATTGGAGGGTAAGGAGCTTGAGGAAAGTATTCCAGGATTAGCCCAGGCCAAAGAGCTGGCGGAGACCTTAGTGTCCGAAGATGGATCCGGTATGGGTACGTCTAGAATCGTCCAGAACAAGCTGGGGCCAGGACAAAGCAGAAAGAGCTACTCTGGTGGATGGGTTCATTGATTAAAAGCAAGGAGAACCAGACAGTAACTGGATTTATTTGCGACGACAGTAGCAGAGTATTTTAAAAATGGATAAACGTAAACAGAACTCTGCTGTCTGCCTGACTAGTGGTCCCTGCTAATGTCCTGCCTGCAGTTGGGGAAGAGTTCACATCTCCAGCATGTGAACCCTGTGCAGTACAGATCTGACCCTAATGACCTAATCAGTGGTTGTGGTGCTTAACCCAAAGTGATTTGTGATGGTGCTTTATTAAAACAGCCTGATCTAATCAGAGGTGTCTGTAGCTCAACTGGTGGTGGTCCAGGAGTTAAACTGTGGATGTCCAGTCCTCCACACTGGCGTCCTGCAGGTTTCAGATGAGTCTCTGCTCCAACTCGGCTGATTCAAACGGTCCATCCGTCTCCCTCAGCATGTCAAACCTCTGCAGAGATCTGCTAATGAATCAAACATTTGATTCAGAAGTGTTGAACCAGGGAAAGAAGGAAAACCTGCAGGACGCCAGCCGTGACGTAGGCCATGTCTGTAGTAAGCTGCAGTAAATGGATTTGGTCGACGTTTCAACTTGCATTGTTGTTTGCTGAATAAAACTGTAGCAGAAAAGCATCTGCTTCAGAAAAAAAGGGAAAAAGTCAGATTAAAGTGTCTGTTTTAAACTTGCTACGGACATGGCGTGAAACACTGAGCGGTTCAGACGAGCTGTTACAATTTCTTTTTTTGTTTTCATTGGTGGTCTTTTGTTAATTTATTTAAATCTGCTGACAAACAGATCCTAAAAGCCGCGAGGTGGTTCTGAACGCCTGCAGGGCCGTGGGCTCCATCAGCAACACTTCGTTTGATATTCGCTTCAACCCCGACATCTTCTCCCCAGGTGAGCATGAAAACGGCATTTGACTGGCTGGAGAGGGAATCTAACCTGCTCAGGTTATCTATAAATCAAGTCCTGAATTCAAACTGAAAATCGATTTTAATTGATTTCCTCTCGCAGTCGATTAGGTGGTTTTAATCAGTATTTCATGAAGTGTTCTGGTTATTTTTCTTTTTACACACTAAGGTTGCTTTTTATCAACACTGTTTGGTTCAGTGCACATTTATTACCACAAAAAAACAAATATCAACCTAATAATATCACTCAGTTGCTTTAGTAAACCAGTTATGTGTGTAAACAAAGTCACTTATACTTTCATTCAGCCGTATTCTTAATGGTCTTCCTTGATGAGCTTAACAAATAAACTGCTGCTGTTTGCAGACGCAACACAAAAACTTGGCAAACTTCATCACTGTTTAAAATTATTTGTTTTTTGTCTTGAAATGTAAAATATAGCGGTTCTAGTTGCAAGAAATACATGGTTTCTGTTTTAAAACTTTCTCAAAATATTACATTTAATCATCTCAGTTTAAAGCCTAAAACATTACACTGAAAATTTAGATCTTAGGTTTAATTTTTAATTTATTTTTTTTTATGTAGTCACATCTTAAATTGATAAACTTATTTCTTCTCTTAAGTCTTATTATGTCCAATAGATGCTTCTTTGTATTTAATAAGGTCTGGCTTGGAAAACTTGGATTTTCTCAACTAAAACCTTTTTTATATGTAGATTACTTTGTAAAAGGCTGCAAAGTTGTTTGGCTCATTGCAAAAGCAACTGAGCCAAACAACAACAAAAATGACCAGAGTTGGATGTTTCATTCTTACATAAAATAAAAGTTATGGGTCTGTTGTTTTTGTCATCTTCTCTAGTAGATGTAGGTTTTAAATCTGCTCAAACATGTTTTTTTTTTTTTTTTTTGAGCCCTCCTCGACCACCTCACGTTCCGGTAATCTTCACACCTCTTTCATTTGATGAAGTCTCATCTGACGTGGTTGCGTGTGCTTCTGCTGTTGAATCAGGGGTGCGTTTCCCAGACGACACGTTGGAGGACGTCCAGAAGCAGAAGCAGCTCCTCAAAGACGTCGCTGCCTTCCTGGTCACCTGTCAGATCCCGTCTCTGGTCAGCGAGGCTCGCTGGTTTCCTCGTCTCTTTGGTTTATTTTTGTTACGTTTTAATAACGGGCTTAAGAAATCGGTTATTAAATGGGTTTTGTTCTGTATTTAGTATTAACTAGTCTGGCATTGGCAAGTCTTTCGCATATATTATGCATCAAAGTTGGCCCAGATGCCTATAAAGTAGTGAAATCGTCCTGTATTTCACTGCAGAATGGAAATGTAACTTTATCTTCACGTGGCTTTGTGATTAAAAGAGTCCAGATAATAAAACTCAGCTTGATGAACTCAGTTTATTAGAATGTTATTAAACTTTCAGACAAATCTAGAAATCTGCGTGTGTTTTATCGCCCAGGTTAAAGACTGTTTGGACCACAGCACTCTGCCCATGGACGGAGCCACGCTGACGGAGGCCTTGCACCAGAGAGGCATCAACGTCCGCTACCTGGGGACAGTCTTGGAGTTTGTGGACAAGACCCCCGCCAAAGCCCAGCTCGAGCATTTCTACGTGAGTCCGATTCCACAATCGGAACCATTTTCACCTCAGTTGCAGAGAATTGTCGTGTTAAAATGTTAAACTTTTTTCCCCATTTTATCACAGAGGATAGGAATCGTTGAGCTGATCACAAGGTGTGCAAAACACATCTTCAGGACATACCTGCAGGTTTGTAGCTTTTCACACATTTTCTATCTGCTTAGAGGGTTGGTAAAATGCACGAATGCAAATGCATTCATTCATGTCAATCTATCAAAAATCAGCGAACGTGAATGATGAATTCTGTCCACATTTAAAGAAGCAAAGATATCTGTATTTGAAGGATTTAGTCTTTTAGAACGATTTCAAGAATTATAAGAAAAACAGCAACTGGTAAGAATAGTCAAGGGTGAATTAAATGGATTGCTGTGCTAATTTTCACTGTAGTTATGATGGGAAGTTTTATCAGGGAGAAACTGAATGTTCAGAATAGTTTCTAAGCTGATGGATTCAACATCATGTCACTGCCCTCTACAAACGACGTCACTTTTTATGAGAGGAAAGCAAATTCCACTGAGTTTATGCAATATGTAGCCTACTCTGTGCAATAAAAGCCCAAAATAATCAGATAGCTTTGCTCAAATATCATGCCAGAGAAAGCAAAGAAATACGACTGATTTAGAAAGATAAATAGAAAATCTTCAATAGAGACTGACTGAAATGACTTTCTGTTCAATTGCTTTAATGTTTTCGATTGTAATGTTAAAATTAAGATTTCTGAAGCAAGATTCTAATTTCTTAACTTGTCTGACGTGACATTCACGCTCACACGTTTGCTTATTTTAAACGTTTCTTGTGGAAAAAAACAAACGCAGAAGTTGCATCTACTCCTTTCCCCCAAAGAGAAGCAGGTCCTGGTTCTGAGCTCTGACCATCAGTTCACTCAGACCGGAAGGTTATCCGTCCTGACTCGGTTCAAGTCTTGAACCCTTTATATACAAGAGGGAAACCTAAAGCGTCAACAAGCTGTTCTTGTACAGAAAATCTGTGAACTGAGGGTAAAAGTCAGATCTCATGACGCTCACGAAGTCATTTTGAAAGGACCGAACGTTTTCTTCCCCTGCAGGGCGTGGAGCTCTCGGCTCTCTCTGCTGCAGTCAGCCACTTCCTCAACTGCTTCCTGAGCTCCTTCCCCGACGCCGTCGCTCACCTGCCTCCCGACGAGCTCGTGTCGCGTCGCAAGAGCCGCAAGCGTCGCAACAGGGTCCCCGGCGGCGGTGACAACACGGCGTGGGCCAGCCTGACGCCCAGCGAGCTGTGGAAGAACATCGCCACCGAGGCTCAGAGCTACTATCACTTCAAAATGCAGTGGTGGGTCTCCTCTGTTCAGCCCTCAGCTCCCTTCGGAGGCCTGCTGCGTGCAAGCTGACTTGTTGTCGATGCGTTTCCCTCTAGCGAGAGCGTCGACCAGGTTGTGGAGAAGTACGGCCTGCAGAAAACCACCCTGCTCAGAGAGATCTCAGTCAAAACTGGCATCCAGGTAACGGTCACGGTTCCTACAAGTTGGGGAAGTTTCACTTTGGATTTCAGGGTTTTCCAAGTCAGGATAAGTTTGGGAAAAGTACTTGAATTTCCTGACTTTTTTTTTTTTTTCCTTTTGTTGTCTGAATGCAGCATCCTTCCTTCTAGTATTTCCAGCACGTATAAATGTCATGAATTCACAGTAAACTCTAATGTCTTGTATTTCAAAACAAACGTTTAGAGCTGAGAAATGGACCCTTGGGAAGGTTTGACATCGACCCGAGTTGTAAAACGTTCTCTTACATTGGTTTTGATTGAAGAATTTATTTTGCTCGATTTCCAGATCCTGTTGAAGGAGTACAATTTCGACAGCCGTCACAAGCCGGCCTTCACGGAGGAGGACATCCTGAACATTTTCCCCGTCGTCAAACACGTGAACCCCAAAGCCTCCGACGCCTTCCACTTCTTCCAGAGCGGCCAGGCTAAAGTTCAGCAAGGTGACGCGCTCCTGCCTGCCCCTCTAGCGGGAAACAAAGAAGATAAAGGCAGTTGCTTTTATGCAAGTCTTGTATTTAACATGCATTCTTCTATTTTCAGGTTTTCTGAAAGAAGGTTGCGAACTGATCAATGAGGCTCTGAACCTCTTCAACAACGTTTATGGAGCCATGCACGTAGAGATCTGCGCCTGTCTACGCCTGCTGGCCCGCCTAAACTACATCATGGGAGACCACCCTGAGGTCAGCCAATAAACAAAATCCACCTTAACTCTGTTTTGTTTAATTTAACCTGCAGTTTATACTTTTTTTTTTAATTCATCTGCAGGCTCTCAGCAACCAGCAAAAGGCGGTTCTGATGAGCGAAAGAGTCCTCGGCATTGAGCATCCCAACACAATCCAAGAATACGTGAGTCACCAGAAAGTCCGACTGCTTCTGAACGTTTCACCAAGATTTGAGAGATTTGTGAGCTGGCTGTTTCTTGTCGTCTCCTTCAGATGCATTTGGCTCTTTACTGCTTCGCCAACGGCCAGCTTTCAACCGCCCTGAAGCTGCTCTATCGGGCTCGTTACCTCATGCTGTTGGTGTGCGGGGAGGACCACCCAGAGATGGCACTAATAGATGTAAGAGCATTCGTTGCTACGTATCCAGAACCTTGCATTCGGTCTGAGCTTGATTGATTTTGACAGAAAGAAAGGAGAAAAATGCCAACCCTGAGATGTGAAAGTTGGTGGAGATTTGCATCTGTTATTTAGCCAGAATGTTTTTCTAGAGTTTTACACTGAATGAATTCACGTCACACTTCTCAGACTTTTAATTTGTGGAAAAACGTCTTTAAAAGCAAGTTGAATAGAGGCAGAATGAGGCATTTTGCTCATCAGTTTGTGTCGGCCCATTACACAAAATCCCAATAAAATACATTGAAGTTTGTGGTTGTAATGTGACTAAATCACATCATTGAATTACATTTTTTGGAGGCATTTTAAACCCTGATGTCTCTCTTCTTGTTCTGTGTTTTGCAGAGTAATATCGGGCTGGTGCTTCACGGAGTGATGGAGTATGATCTATCCCTGAGATTCCTGGAGAACGCTCTGACCGTCAACACAAAGTATCACGGAGCTCGTTCCCTCAAAGTGGCTCTCAGGTGAGCGAAGACTTATTGCAGCAGTGCATGCAGAGAAAATGGATAATTAAGTTTCTTGGCGTCATTTTTAAAAAAAATTTGCCTCGTGTTTTTCAGCCATCATCTGGTTGCCAGGGTGTATGAGAGCAAGGCAGAGTTTCGCTCGGCTTTGCAGCACGAGAAGGAGGGCTACACCATCTACAAGAACCAGGTGGGTCCTGCAGAGGTTCACACGCTGGCCTCCACCCCTCCCGTCAAAGCGAGCGTCTTTATATTCTGCAAATATTCCCCCCTCCCTCCCAGATGGGCGAGGCTCACGAGAAGACCAAGGAGAGCTCAGAGTACCTGAAGTATCTGACCCAGCAGGCTGTGGCTCTGCAGAGAACCATGAACGAGATCTACAAGAACGGCTCCAACGCCAGCATCATGCCGCTGAAGGTGAGTGCTCCGACTGCGACACCTTCTGCTGTGGCTGGAGAAAATCTGCGTTACTGAAGTGTCGCCCTGTTTTTTTTCCAGTTCACCGCTCCCAGCATGGCCAGCATCCTGGAACAGCTCAACATCATCAACGGCATCATCTTTATTCCACTCAGGTAAAAGTCAGAGAAGACGAGCCGAGACTCCGAGGAAGTCTGTGTCTTGGGAAGGAATGAAGGAGAAATGAAACATTTGATGACAAACGTCACATTGCTATGATAAAATGAATCAATCTTATTGCATGTGGGATAAAACGGATGCCCCAGTGAATACTTTTTGTTCCCATTCCCAGCCTTCACCAGATGGAGTTAATGTGATTTAAATAAAATAAACCGCTTGAGTTGCAAAGAGTGTAAATGTGCAGAATATTGTTGTGGAATAGACATGTTTAGCAATTAGTGACCCGCGTTTGCTGTTACTTACGCATTTGAATGTTTAATCTTAACAGAACATGTACTGCAAACTTTTAATGGTTTTGAGACGTAGAATAGAAACAGGAGCGTTTGAGACGCCTGAATTTTCAAATTGAAGGCAAATATGTCACGTTAAATTCTCAGACGCGTGAGAATCGGCCTTACTTATTTAGCAATCTCTTTCTATTTGATTAGCTTCACCAAACCCAACTGAGTGAACGACACATCTAATGCAAGACATGACGCCATGTTGGACTGGCATCAACTTGAACGCCTCTTATTGAGAATAATTTGGATAAATAACATGGGAAGAAATCTTAAAGCAGGACGAATATAAACTAAATCTACTTGTGTCTTTTTCCTTTGTAGTCAAAAGGATCTGGAGAACCTGAAGGCAGAGGTGCAGAGGCGGCAGCAGCTGCAGGAGCTGGGAAAGAGCGAGGAGCCCGCAGAGAGCAGCCCACTCGAACTAGAAGACAAAATCCCTGTCGATTAACTTCCAGCAGCTCCAGGCACGGCTGCTTTCTGCTTAAAGAAAATAAGAGAGGAGAGAGAGGCTGTGACGCGACAGCCAAGCGACGGAGCCTGTGGACCTGAAAACTAAGTAAATCAGCTTTGAAATAAACAGGGTGAGGGTGGGGTCAGAGAAGTCCTGGGAAGACAAACCGTATGGACTGTAGGACAAACGAATGCAGAGCAGGGGCTTCCTACAAAGTAGGAGAGGGAGGGAGCAGAAATTACAAATGACATAGATTCAGTGTAAAGGTGCAATCAGAGTAAAACTGGGCTCACGAAAGGCGTCCCTGACGAGTGTCGGCTGCTTAGACAAATTTACATTTGGAAAAGAAACGGCTGCAGCTGGAGGAGAGAGACCAAGAATGACCATGACATTATGTACCAGAGCCTTATCTGCCATATCATCACCCCGAAACCACGCTTCTTTTAAGACGCCTCAAAGGTGCTCCGAATGAAACGGCACCGAGCCTGGCCAAGAACTCAGGCCGTGTTACCACTGTGCACGAACAGACCCGAATAAAGGCAGTAAGCCAGAGATTCGTTTCCAACGGGGGCCGCAGAATGTAAACTCCCATCTTTAAGTCACTTTGTAGCAATCAGAGTTCATCCGTAAACCTCCCCGATCAGTCATGGGTTTAATTTGTTCCGTCGTTTGTACGTGCTTCGTCCCAGGACGGGCGCTTTGAACCGATCACTTCATTTGTTTTAATTTGGTGGGGTTTATTTTGTTTGGGTTTTTGTTTGTATGTTTTTAATGTGTGTTGATCATCAGTAAATTTAAGCCATGTTTGTTTTATGGAAAATGTATAGAAATGGGGAAAGGGGGATGTATAGAGATGTATAAATCTTGATTGGATCTAGTTGGTGTTAAGGGAAATCACAGATCTCGAATACGTCCACTTTAAGCCGTAGATATATCCAGATATAAATATAAATATATACTAGCTGTGTTCAATCTTTTATTTTTACATTCAAACAAAACAGAATATACATGCATGTGTGTTTGACGGTGTGCGTCTGTGTGTAGTCTGACCGGAAAATCTGCCGAGCAGGACTGTTTGCTTTCCAAATGTTTTATACCTCCGCACACGTGAAAGCTGTTCAAACGCTGATGCATATTTTCTTAAAACATTCATGGCCACCAATGTTGTTGTAAATCTGCTTACGTATGAAGTTGGTTGCTCTACTCATCACCGCACAAGGTCTCACTTTTGGACTGTGTTTTTTTTTTTTTAATGTTGTTTTGTTTGTTTTTATTTTTGTTCTGGCTTTCGGAGATTTAAAAACTAGCCAAGGTTGAGCGGCACTTTTCTGGTGCATCTGCATGACCAAAAGAGGGCAAAGAGCAGGTATGATGTTGCAAAAAAGAAGAAAAAAAAGACTGATAAAAATCTGTTTGTATACATGCAATGTTTCCCATCTATTGTAATTTCCTTACATTGTTGCAGTGTGTAGATGTGTGATTAAAGCAATAGAGAGGGGATGCTGGAGTTTTTGATTGTTTTGTAGAGAATGTTTTTGTACATGGCACAAAACATGCAAAATGGACTCCCCTTGAGTTTAAGATAAGCTTGTTCAGAAGTAAATGTCAGGCTCTTCACAATGAATCCTTTCCCCTAAAACTTGCCTCAGCAGTTGCAGAGCCTGTACGTGCCTCTTGTTTATGTTCTTGAATTGAACTTGGGTCATGGTGGGTGAACTTTAGCAGAATATAAAGCTAACATTTCCCTCTTCTTTTTTTTCTCCGGGTCTTTTGAATTAGTTTTAACTTTAATTTGACTTTGTTCGTGTACTTTGTCAACAGTAACACCAACACTGTCCACAAGGGGGCGCCAAACATCCTTTTGTTATTTTGAGGGAATAATAAAGACTAAAAACGTGCTGCAGGTGCACAAACGCATTGTTTCTTTTTACAGAACATGATGGATGAGTTTGAGTATAAATTGATTTAATCACCGTTGCACTACAAATCCATACAGAAAACACTTAAAAAATACCATATATGCTGTCACTTGGCCTGAATTGGAAAGCTTGTGTGGATGTGTGTTTGAGTATTATGTCCAAGCTGTTTTGCCATATTCAGCGTACAAAGTAACAAAGATTTTAAAAAAAGACCTTTTCTGAATAATTTTTCTCTGTCATTGAAAGCTTTTCTGAACGTGTAGTGGCTGAATCCACGCTCCCTGGATGTGTGTCAGGTATTTGTGTGATGCTCTTTACATACTAACCTAATTTTTTTTTTTTTTTTTGGTCTGACTTCTTTTATAATAAATAAAATAATTTAGCTAAAATTTTGCTTGGAGTTTCTTGCACCGTCTTATATCAGTACACATGTACACATGTAGCAGCTGAACAAATTGTTTTACTGAGATGAGATCTAAACTTGAAAAAATGAAACGCTTTGGCAGAGTTTCTCTTTATTTTCATAATTACATTATTTTTTCAGTGTTCAATTTAAGAGTATCTAATTCGTAGCAAAACTTTTCAATTGTAATACTGAGAAATGTGTAGGAATTCAGGTTTTATTTGGTAGTTTATATATATTTGTTTTTTTTATGCACTTCTGGAAAGTGCAAGGTGGGCAAATCTTAAAGAAATAGAAAACAAGTAATTATTTCAGGAATCTTGTTAAAAGTTAAGAGAATATGAAACCAGCTCTATGATACAATACTAAAAATGTATTCCACAAAATCAAATTGAAAAATAGGAGAAATATTGGTTAGAATTAACCAGTTAAGAATAAACAAGTAAGAAATATTAAAACTCATTTGTAAAACACAAATAAAACAACAAACTCAAGTAGTAGGTGACAACAATTCCCCATTTAATACGTTTTGTTTTGGTGCAAGGAGGAAAGAGTTAATGCCTAGATATAAAAATAATAAATAGATTTTCTGTTGTCAAGGGCGTGCGCGCTCCCGTCGAGCAGTGAACGCGACCAGGCTGCGCGCTCCCTCGCCAAGGCGACTGCGGTAGCGCACAGAAAAAAAAAAAAACAAGCGAGTCGAAGCTGAGGAGACAAGACGGACCACAGTTTACCTCCACATCACAAGATCACGTTTTGGAGCAGGAAATCTCACGCCCTGCCGGGTCGTGTTAACGTCGGAGACGGCTGACGAGATCCACCGAGGAGAATAAAAGGGTGAGTGCTGTTATTCCCCGTTTAAAGCAGCGGCCACAGTCGAAGGAATGTGGCGTTAGGTGGGGAAAATGACGATGTGGCTGTAATTGTTGCACCTCCTTTTTATGTCTCAAAATGGCGGACAGGCCGCTTGGACTGAAGCAGCAGGTACCCTGTCAGCGGACTTTAGTCCTGTTTTCAGATAAGCAGTCGTGTGACGGTACAGGAATTGAGTGCGTTTCTTGTTATATGTGTGCGATATAGCTAGCTGAGCTTGAAGGCACGTCACTGTGGCCTTTACGGGGAAGAGTCACTGCAGCGGCTAACTTTGTGCCGGGAGGCTAACTTTACTGAGGGTAACTTTGGCTAAGCTACCAGCTGGTGATTGTCTCCGGTTAAAAAACAAACAAACAAGAAAGCTTTTGTGCAGATCCATTTATCCAGCTGCTTTAACAGATTACAGTCGTATTATTATGGTAAGTAAGCAGCAGCAGCAGTCTGTTTTCTGCGGTGATTCAGGTGTTGACATTCTAATTTTTCCAGCCTGTAAGAAAACAAATGTCGGGTCAATATTGGCTTGTTTTACTGCTGAGGGACTCCTGCATGTTCCCACGGCTGGTGTAGTCTGTTTGTAGCTCCAAAGGGCGTGTGTTGACATTCCACTGATGCTTCAGGTTGTTTGGATGTGACAGTAATGAAACATCAGATTGTCCAGCTACACCGACAAACCTCTGGGCATGTTTCCTCGGCAGATGGTGGCTGTCATTCAGCCAGATGCTGACTGATGAAGCTCCCATCATCTCTGCGTGTGCTGCACGCAGGTTTGCTGGGGAAAACAGGGTGGAGCACATCGGAGGCGATGTGTTTCTAGGAGTACTCAGCAGCATGTGTCTGTCTTGGTTTCTCCTCTCTTTGTGTGCTTTGCCACTTTCACTCAGAGCTCTGAAGGACTAGATCTTGGATGTCAAACATTTTCTTGTGCATGTGTGATTTATTGTCACCCTACTCCCCCTCGCCTGCGAGGACTCTCCATCAGTCTATTAGTGGCAGCTATGGGCTTTTAAGGAAATTGTTTACTTTTGAAATCAGCATTCTGTGACAGAAATAAACACCAATCGTTGCTCTTCTTTCAGGTAAGAGGATTTGTCTTGAGTCGACTTTGCACGGTGATGGTCTTTGTTGGTGATCTAATCATATGCAGCCCAAACACAAATGCACACAGACTCCTGAATTTGCCTATTTATATATTGGCATGAATAGGACTGAACTTAACTAATATGCACGTTTAGATTAGATTTGAATTATTTTACAGTTCTGCTAAAATGCTTACAATTTCTGACTTTATTCCATGATCTAATTTCTGATTCAACCATCTGAATTTATACCATAATATCAAACTAAAACCTCTGTAAAATATGAGGTTGAGAAAGTCTGACATTTTGAAAAATTAAAACAAAGAGACCCATGTTATGCCAGCTTGTTCGTACTGCAGTCAGACTGGTTTTGTAGATTTAAATAATAGAAACAGTCACATTTGTCCAGTTACCCTTCAGATACGCATCAACCAGGCTTTTCCTGGCCAAAACTCATTTCCAATTTTCTTTCTGACATGCCAAATGTAGTTTTTCTTCTGCAGTAGGCGTAGGAGTTTTAAATTAAGCTAAAAATAAAGAAAATGCAGTCAGTTTTTTCACATTTCAACATTTGTCTTTCACCTTCATCTGGTTTTCATTAAGCTCATAAAAGTTCATCCAGGTGAGATTTATTTGTGATGCATTTTAGGTCCAAAATTCTGAGTTTTGGATTTAATGGGTACGAATATATTACGACTTTTCAGCGTTTGACCCGAAATTCAAAGGAAAATTGACAGATATTGATGTTTGGCTGACTGACAGACTGCACCTGTTATTCTTTATGGTCTTATGTATGAAAGTTTATTTTGCTTTTGCATTGTACCATTAGATAAGGATAGATAAAGTACATGTCGTCCTCATGGTCCTGTTAGTTTAGAGGTTTCTCCTCACTGTTTACTAGCTGAAGACCATTACTTTCTCTCTGTATACTTTGTCACACCTTCCTGGTTGTGAAGTACCAGAAGTACATTTGACAACATGTGTAACTTTAGCAGTATAACTCATCAAATTGAGTAAACTTTGTCCTAAAAAATGTGAGTTTGGGGTAGGGGGAGGGGATTGTTTTAAAAAGGCATCAGTGGAGAGGTTTTCAGATTGTCGTCTTAGAAATAGGTCGACTTACAATGAAGGCCTTGTCCTTGTTTCCATTTCATTGGTATTTTGAATTGAATCACTCATGTATACATTTCTGGAAACTCTCCTTAGTTAACTTGAGCCATATTTACACGCCCAGAATTGATTTATAAATGGTGAGAAAATCAGTTTCAGTTCCTTGCATAGCTGACTGCTTTCCCAGATTTCCAGCTGACCCTGAGGAAAGTTGCTGGAATGTAAATATCTGCAGCTGATAAATCTTTACATATTTGATCTTATCACAGACAACTTGGTAAATTTGAGCTTCTACTGATTAGACTTTTTGACAGGATTATCAGAGGATAAACTGTAAGTCAACCTAACCCACAAATGACTTTGAATATAACATTAGTCTTGACATAACACCTAATGGGCTCGACTGGCTTGTTGATTCTTGTTAAAGAAACAGGTTCCAGCTCTACTAGACTTAATGATAATGTGCTTGGAGAGTCTGCAGGTTTAATTTTAAAACTTATCCAACCTGGTATCACTCCCAACATTAACTGAAATATTTAGAAAACCCTCCAGATGTATTAATTTATGCCAGAGCTGGGAAACGTGCCTGTCAGCTTCGATGTCCGACATTACACAAGTTCTATATTTATCATATTTGAGTAAACGCATAACGATATGTTAGGCAGAAAGGGTCAATAGCACAAATTAAACCAAAATATTATTTTTTCATTTTCAGAAAAAGTTGCATGAAGCTAGAATTAAACCGAGGAAACGAGTTTCTGTTGCAGAGTGTTAAAAGGAGAGCGACACCAAAGATTTTGTGGTCAATTTCTAACCACCGTCTATTGTAAAGCTGTTACCTGCTGATACTTGCCCTTCTGCTGTGAAAAATCAATGCCATCCTAAAAGTAAGAGAGCAGCTGGTGTTGCACAGCTCTGCTGTTCAACAAAATATTATTTTAAAGAAAGAAACCTGGATTACAGAGTTTACATTGTAAGCTGTCTTTAGCGTCCTGAGTGATCGATTTAAAAAAATTGAGCATGGTTTATCATTTACTACCTGTAAAAACCCGCAGCTCTAAATCCTGTAGAAAACTCAAACCCTTTAACTTTGATATCCCAATGATAAGAAATGCATCAAACTTCTAGTTTTTGATGAGTCTATTGATCAAAAAAGCATTCCCCCCCCCCCCTCCCGACGACTACGACTTGCGATGTTTTTCTTTCTAGCATGTTTGGCACCACCCTTAGACTGGGAGTGTCGTCATTACTGTCAGTGCACACAGTCACTGAGGCCACAAAAATATGGGCTCCATGCAAACGTCCACAGAGTCCTAGTGGGCTGGTACCAACGTTTACACCACCCTGGCTTCGCGGTCGCATCTACTGTAGAGCGTACTGAAACGCCAGAGTTGGGATACAATGTCATTATGATGTTTTGGTTCAACACGTGCAAGGTTTGTTTTCGCCCTGTGGAGTTTTCTGTTACATCTGACTACTATGGACATTACTGCAGACATTTGTCTTATATTTGCTTCTGCTATTGTTTCACCTCACTACTGCCTAAAATCAATTTGACATTTAGGAAAAGGTGTCCGGTGCCACAAACCCAATGGCTCAAAGCAGGTGGCAGGATCCTAAACACAAACTTGACAACCATGTCAGTCAGTAAATCAGTAATAGTATATATCGCCATAGAAATGTGATCAATATCAATAGGTGATACTTCGGATAGAATATTCACTGAACTCTGATCCAGAACCACACAGCATTCTGGGGGATGTAGGCAAAGGAAAGGCTTTTAGTCACTCAGCCTCTCAAGGCCAGCTAAGGTAGGTTGGTGCCATCAACTAACGCACTCTTTGGTTGCCTAGCAACAACCAGTTGAGTAACATAGAGCAGCACTTTCAGGTTTCACCTCTGTGCCTTATAGCTGCTTAAAAATCTTCTTTTTAAACTGCATGGAATGAAAACTGGATGAAACAGCAAAGGTCACGCTACCAGTTTGGTGGCATTTCAGATATTTAAAACAAAAACACTAATCAATCGTTTTCTATGTCGACAATTATAAATATGGATTGATATGAAACGCTTAAATCACAATACGTTTTTCAATCTTGTCCTGGCCTAGTATGGATGATATCAAAAGAGCAACATAAAATATAATGGCTGAGCTACAAGTTTGCATGCTATAAATAGTTGTACAAGAGAAACGTTTCACTTCTTTTCCATTTCCAATAAAGCTTCACATGAAAAATTATTCTCTCTTATTTCAATGTGTCTTAGAAAATTATTTTGGATTTTTTTTTTCCACAGTGCAGTTTTGAACATACATTTTTTTTGTTTTTTTGCATTTCATCACCACTTTACTTGGTTAGGAAGAGAACTAGACTGTTGCCAAGGACAAAGTCCCTGTTGGTGACGTGAAATCACCAGCAGAAAATGAAGGTCCACCGGATTCCTGCTGGTTTGGCTGCTTGTTTTAGAAAGACGGTGACGCAATGACACCAGAGGAGAGCGAATGCGAGTCAGAGGTGACTTTGGGGTTGTAACGGCCAGCCTTGTTAACGTTGCTGCAGTGCTATGTTTTGCGATAAGACATCAGGACACTTTCACACAGGCAGCTAGACTTCACCCCAGGCTCAGTCGTCTTTTCTGCGTTCCTCAGGGGTGTGGCCATGTTTCCCCAGACATGAAAGTATTTATTTAAAAAAATAAATCCTCATAATTACCTGTTTAATATTGTGCCTGCAGCAAAATGCGTTTCAGTCTTACATTTTACGACTACACTTTTTAATCTTGAAATCAAATATTATTATGCTACGTTTACATTCAATTTAGTGAGATTTTTCTAGTGTTGCAAATTTTTTCATGCTTTTATTTTGACACCATCGTCCAGATTTTTCCTCTCATATCTCAAGTTCTATTTGTATTTGTTTTGCATTTGTTTCTATATTAGGCAGTGGACATTTTCAACTTGAACAGATAATGTTTTTTTTTCTCTCTCTCTTTTGTTGACCTAGTAAAAGCAGGACTGGTGACCTGATAATGGGACCAGGGTGTGGCTCATTAATTTTGACACCAAGTTGCTGTTTTCCGAGCTCAAAAGAGACGCAGGACGTTTTTCTATTATCTAAAACGGGGCGCTTTAACAACAGATAACCTCCAGGGATGCATCAGCAAATTGCATCTTACAAAGTCAGCATGGTCTGTGACAGATTCCTATTGTTTGGTTTCTGCTGCTAAACAAATCAATGGGAGGAAGATTCATTAGGGTTATTAACCATCAATGGGCAGATTTACTGCTCCGTGTCTGCAGCTCAGACTCTTCTCCCTGAAGACTCAATATTTCTGCGGAGCCAATTAGCTTGATGACGTTGCTGTAAAAACCTTTTTAATTTCTAGAGCTGCCATTTGTAAAGCTTCAGGAATGGTGTTTAGGTCAATTATGGATTTGAACATCAATGTCTGTAGCTTATACACACAGTAGTAAGGTACTCGTTGCCTTGTTGTGCCTTTCTTTTATCCATATTCTCTGTATTAATAGCAATAAGTCATTCACGAGTTGGTTTTATGACCCTGGCAGCTGCCAGAAAACCCTGCATGTCATAATCCACTCGCAGTCTGTAGGCGGACGTTTGGACAGCTGTCAAGTGGTGATGTGAGGGTCCAGAGGTTGGGCATCTGTTACATCAGCCTGCTTTCTGTTGTTCATGCTTTCTACAGTCTTGGAGCCAAATACATGTTTTAGTGTTTTAGTGAACAGCAGCGATTAAAAATGTTACATTAGAGGCATCATGGGATGAACATCTGGAATCAGACTGAATCTGCTTTTTTTTTGTGAATGGAAACGGAGAGTGACGTTTTGCCTCTTTTAGAACATGTCAAGCCAATTTTTAATTTAAATTTTAAGGATGCCGACCCGCGGTTGGTCTGAGTGCGCAGTACTATTTTGGAACAAACGGTGCAGAGAATGTCACAACTCTCTCCAAGAACTGTGTGTTGGGAACAGCAGTTTTTATCCAAACATTAGGCCGACCATTGTCCAGTTTGGAATCCTGTGAGGATTTCCTGGATAGACACAAACCCCAACTGCAAATGTTTTATAGGTTTGCCTTCATTACTGATGTCACTGATAGATTTGCGTGTTCAGGTTGAAAGTCTTTCTAGTAGCAGATATGGGCCTGGTCGTCATCTAAAATTGTCCTTTTTGAGCTGCGTTGTAGCAGTGGTTACCACTATTGTCTTTTAGCAAAAAGGATCTGGGATCTAATGCCAGTCTGGGCTGCTTCTGCAGGGCATTTCTGTTGTTCTCCATGTACATGCGTGAGTTCTCTCTGGGTTCTCCTAAAGGAGAGACGCATAGCAATGATGGATTGTTATCTCTCCACTCGCCTAATGACCGCTGGACTGCACTAGTGTCAGGATGGAGGGATTTCTAGTTCTTATAACTTGCTGGTGGTACTCCCAGGCTTAATGACCATTTTCTTTACTTCCCTTAATATTTATTCATACCACAAGCCCAAATAGTTAAAATATGCCGATGTCTGCCTTCACTAAGTTATGTAAATTTGTTGCAAGCCTCTAGAGAAAGCCTTTTGGCTTAACTTGAACCTTTCTTGTCTGATACCTGTTCCAGTTGACTAAAGCGATTACGCTAAATGCCTAGTTCACAGAACAGTATTGAAATGTTAACTGCAAATAATTTTGCTCATATAAATTGTTGCTCACAAAGAGTGCTTTATTCCACATTTTGCAAAACGGTTTCCTTTTATCACTCAGCCAGGCAGCTCTTGTGATGAAATGATGTTGAGGTTTTACGGTCAGGAGATTTTGCTAGTAGTACAAGTGCTACTCCAGCCTTTATGGCTTTGTTCTATTTTTTATTATTTTATTGCTGGTAACCTGTGGGGTGAAGTATATTTCTTTAAAAAATGTAGGTCACTGCTTGAGAGGCAGTAGCTGCAGGAGGAGACTGCTGGCAGTGCAAATTAGGAAGGTAGATGTGAGGAAACGATTGTCGAATGTGTGTGAATTGGACATATTTTCTCAAAAATAGAGAAACAAATTAATTTCAGATGTTCTAAAGTGAGTTCTATATTGCTATTGGTGTCAAAGGTGTTCTGTCATAAACCCATTTTCTTTCAAAAATAGAGCGATATTGTGTTATATTTAGACATTGTTGACTAAATCTTAATTAACTTTTTCTCTCCGGTGCAAACACTATGACATTAACCCTGGGCTACAAGCATCTCTCTTCTCTCCAGCTCCTCATGTTGTTTTTTCATGCATATCTAATGCTGACTTTCCCAATTTCCCTGTCCTCCCCAGATGCGGTGTAGACTTGACTGGTGACTGGTCTGCACGCTCGCCGCTTCTCTCATTCCTGGAGATAGTCAAGTTGGAGGGGGGGCAGATTCCTGCGTTCCCCTCCTCTTAGTCTGCGTCTTTGTTTGGGACAAAAACCAACCACTTGCGCCTGGAGTACACGACCCACCCTGTTTCGTCGTTCCTGGCTCAGCACAGCTCATCCTTTGACTGAGGAGATCGCACGATCTGCAGGAGATTCACTTTTAACCTGCTGATCCCTCCCGGCCCTGCCCATAATCCCCCGTCGCCATGGTGCTGTCACAACGGCAACGAGACGAACTGTAAGTTGTTGTTGCACCTCTCTTGAGATCTGTGCAATTTCAGATTGAAAACTTGAATTTGAAAACTGTTCTTGCCTCAAGTGACGGTTCAAACACTTTCTGTGATGCGTTTCTGATGACGCTGTGTGAAAAGACTGAAAATTGTTTTTATGAAGAGTTGTGGACGAATCCATGTAGTTCGGTTTCAAAAGATTCTCCACACATTTTGTTTCACGAATTTTACTGATCCACAACATGCTTACATTTACACAATGTAGAAAATCGCACATTGTTAGACTTCTTATCAAATAGTAAACTTGTAAATTGAGCTACTTTTATGAAAGAAACTGAAATCATGAGTACATGGTTTTACCAGAGAGGATATAAAACTTCAGTGCTGTTCTTGATCTCTTATGGTTTTTTATTTGGCCAATATCTTAGCTCAGATTACATTTTAGTTTTTCTAAAGTACACCTAATTTATGTGAAGTTCTTCTGTTTTGAACATTTTTGTCAATATGATGTCGGGCCCCCTGCTTCAACCTGTCTAATCAAATCTGAGGTCTCAACATTCAGTCGCTGCTGATTTGAATCTCATGTTTCTTGAATCTGGTCAGAAACATGAGCACAAATAACCAACGTCAAAGAGGCTTGATATCGCCTCAAGCAAGACCTGCCAGTACGAAGAGCTTATAAATAGGACAAGTAGCTTGTTTTTCCAAACTAAAAAGATAAACACCTCTTAACATTGCCATTCATTATAAGGATGGACCTCTCTCTGTGTTGAGGCAAGGTGATATATTGACACAGGATGTAGTTTATTTCAGGAAATGGGGAATTCGTTTCTCTTTTTCCCTGGTCAAAGGATCAATGTGTTGTTGACATTTCCGGAGCCCTCCTGAGGCCCGAAGCTCAAATCTATTGATCCCTCCCTTTGCACCAAGAAACCGTCATGTTTACTGTAGGGCTGTTGTAAACAAATATTTTAGTAATCGAGTATTCTATTGATTATTCTTACAATTAATCGAGTAATCCGGTTAGAAAAATGATATAAGATATTGGTAAATCTAACATAACAGCAGAGTTACTATTGGATATCAACATCAATCCACTTTTTCATATTTGAGCATCTTTAACAATAACTTTATGTAGTTTAGAACATTAGGTTGCAGGCAAATGCTCAACATGCTATCACGTAATCTATGGATGTTTTCTGGTCAGAAACACACCTGATAGTCTGGTTGGTAAACTCGGTTTGATTGGAGACAACGTTGGTTAGATTTTGAGCTGATGCGGTTTGCTTTCACAGTGCACTGTCAAATGAACCAAAGCTTTTAAAAAATCCTGTGCTCCCACTTGCCTGTGGTGGCGCTGCACCAAGTACTACTGAGTTAACCATTGTGAAAACCTATGAAGAAGACTTGTGAGCATTTTCTTTATTCATGAAATGTCAACAAAAATGGAGCGTCGTCAAATTTTAGCGATGGTAGGATTTCTCTCTTGCTTTGGTAAAATACCACAAGCTAGCGCTAGACTCGCATGTTAGTTTTACCCAGAATGCCCTGCTTTGGGGTGGTCTCTGGTCAAAAGGCATTCACAGTGTTCATTTGAACCGCAGCAGAGTTCGTTTCATCCAATCCTAGACCTGAGTTTGTAGAGAGTTTGCATCAGAGTTTGATTGCGTATCCAAACAAACCGAACTTTCTAGACAGACGAACTAGATTAGATTAAAGTGGGATAAAGAGAGCTGGTGTGAATGAACCCTAAGATCCCAATAAGATGCATTGAATTTGTGGTTGTATTGTGACAAAATGTGGAAAAGTTCAATTTGTATAAATGCAGTGAACTGAGTCCTGCTGAGTCTGTGGGCTCCTGATGTGCGGCACTAAAAGTACAAAACAATTGGATCTTTAAGGTTATAAGAGAGATTTGTTTATGAAGAATACAGCAGAAATAAATCGTAGAGATGAGTAGACAGTTTTGGTTAATATTCATTTTTTGTTTCACTCCGTCAAAAGAAAGAAAATGCTTCAGCGTTCACATGACAAGGCACTCCACATTCCTGACAGTGTTTCAGTGTATCTGTGGTTGTTGCCTTGCAAAGGTCTGTTGGTATGGAGGCGTCTATTGGAATGCTAATCATCGCTATTCAGAGGAAGTGTTGAAGATCCCCCACCACCACCACCAACAGTCACTACGCCCCCCCAAAGCCCCTCTAAACCCGGTTCTTAGCAGCACACGTTTTTGGTGCCGTCGCTCACAGGAAACACTTGTGGGACCGCTGGAGTCGCATTCAAATGGCCGTTGCGTTCCACCCGCCGGAGATGTCCCTGCTCCCAGTTGGAGCTCTCATTGATCGGACCATAAAGCGACCCTAAGATTGAGTTTCCTGACTGGCTCCCTCATTTTGGGATACAAACCCAGCAGGCCTTTTCAGTGCATCACACAATAACTGTCGGATTGCTTGCCGTCACACCACATCTTTCTTTGTTTCCCTTCTCTTAATTTGCTTTGACTTTAACACACATTCAGCTAATAAATTTTCTTAATTTTTTCCCCTGTTTTTGCTATTTCCAATAACTGTTTAGTCCGGTTCAGTATGTTAATTTACTTCACACAGATGTAGAAATCAATACATTGCTCTTAATCCCGCGTTTTGTTTCTTGAGCTTGATGAGTTGGGCTCTTCGGCACAGAGTTTAAGTTCAGCACATCTTAAAAAGATAATCTTTGTCCTCTAAACCGATGTGATTTTTTTGTCAGCACCACAGTCAGCTGTTGTGTTGGTTCAGCATCTTCACAACAGCTCTATTTTTGCCTGTTTCAACCAATGAAAGCGTATTTGTGTTTCTGTGTAGGGTCAAAGGACTCATCCCTGGCAGCATGTTGTTGAAACAGATGCATAATACAAAATATCTGCTCTCCTAAAATACCCCGGGGCGGCCATGTGCAAATGGGCCCTTGCTTTTGTGGCTCTTCTGAGCTTTACAAAGAAAATCCCTTCGGCCACCTCCATTTTGTAGTCAACAAGATGCGTCATGTGAGTTCTGTTCGCCATCTTTCTCCTGCGGCAAATGCGGTGTCATAATGGTTATTTAAAGATTTAGATGTAAAATGTTGGAGAGGAGTCACTTTGTTCACCTGAGCCATGGGACAGATATGCTGGGTAAAATCTACGTAATGATCATCCTACCTTAATCTGTGGCTCCAATTTCTGCAACTCTCTAGAGAGGTTTGTGTATCGTTAAGTACAAAAATGGGTGGAATGTAGTCAGACAAATGTGTAGCGGAAAAGCTGCATATTGGGTTGCTAGGTGATGGGCTTGTGTTGCTAGGTAACCAAGCAGTTCCCGCCGATTGTAACTTGGTAATTAGAAGATTTTCCAAATGGTTCGTTTTCCAGACATCTAAAAAAAACATTAACTTATTGCCAGAAAACTGCTAGGCTTATTTTATTTTGTTGATTTTTTTTTTTTTTTTGTGCTTGGACTGTTTCTAGAAGCAGTGGAAACTCAAATGGAAGTAAAACAAAATGTGCAAAACGTGAATTTAGCATAATAGATCCTCTTTAAGGAATACACTATGACAATATCAATGATAAAAGTAGGTTTTAAAATTCAATAAGACTGACATTACATGTGGCGTAACAGACAGTAAGTGGGATTACCATTATTAAAGTAGTTTTACAAGATGGAGAAGTGATTATAAGTATGAACTTGATTTGCATGATTTTCTGGTTGCACCCAAACATATTTGCTTTTTTAATCAGTATATCCATTTTTTATAGTTGAGAGACATCTATTGGAGTCCAAGCAGTTCCTCATAATACTACCAGTGTTTCATACAGTGATTTTGCGGTGTTATGTAAATCAAGTTATGTAAATAATTAGCAGTTTAATAAAGATCTGCTCTATTATTCTGTTACATTGCTGTGAATAAGTTTTTTTTTTTTTATGTGCTTCATTTTAATCTAAAGCTGTTTATGAATGGCCGCCATAGCATAAAAAGCATCACTGTGTGCTACACACCCTTCATGAAAGCAGTGTGTTTTGGTGTGTACTCCACACACCTGGCTTTTCAGCCGTGTCTTTCTTTAGATCTGCTCCTGCAGGTACGTGCTTGTAGTCTTTACAACAAAGAGCAAACATTGCATCCATTGTTGAACCAACCAAATCCATGCTTGATTTAAACACTTTGCATTTGTTTTTTTTTAATATTTCTGGTCTGGTTCCCTTTGAAGATTTCTCCTGGCTTAATAGTTGATCCCCTCTGTGATCTTCCTCTTATTTGAAAGTGAAATTCTCATGTTCATCAGCTTCGGGAGAGTTTTTCTCCTTGTGGAGTGACCTCCATCTCTTCCTGCCTCAAATAATGTGACTGACCAGCTGTGTGGCCAAGCAGTGGCTGTCCTCAGCTGACATGCATCTTGTCACTAATTACTCCTGTAGGACTCTGCAGATAACAAGATAGATCTTACATTTTAATCAGTAACAGATTCAACAGGGATCTTTTTATAACTGAGCTGTTAAGCAATCTTATCATGAGATTTCTGTGTTGCTTTTGTGTAACTTTCTCTTTGAAGTCATCAGCTGTTCAGTACATGCTTAAATTAGCTTTCCACCAGTCTGCTTTCCTTCATGCTTCGTCTGCTCAGCTGAAAGCGCCTCTTGTTGCTTTTACCTTGGAGCCTTTCTGAATCTGTACACTGATTATTTTTTAATATTTGTTGTTGTTTTTTTCCCCTGACTTTTGAGATTAAGCAATCAGCATTTCTGTAACAAGTTTATGTAGGAGCAACTCGTCTTGAAACAGGTGAACCAGCACGTTCAGTCCTAGGTGTTCATATTTCTTAGTTTGTCTGAGCCCTTTGAAAAATGTTTCATGGTTCTTTTGGTCCCGATTAGAAGTAATCCAATCAAGCACAATGTGTTTTTCTTTTTTTTAAATGACTAATTTAATACGTTTAAAACATAAAATTAACAAACACGATTAAGTGCAAGTCAGATCTGCAGGTTTATTTCCT